GATGTTGAGTGTATGACGTCACAGACTCCAAAAAATAATCGTAAAAATATCTTACTTTCGTCCTGAATATCGAGAAAACACTTCATACAGTGATTATTGGTCCTTTAAAGAGTATTCTTTGGAAGTTTCAGCTGAATCCAAGTTTGAGCGATTTTTGTCAGAGTATCACTTTAATAGTTACAAACGTGCACGTATACGTTTGTAGTGTTTTCGTAAAATGTTTACACTTTTCTGGATCCATAAACATGAAACAGTTACACTACTTTGATGAAGGACCACTTCTAGTTAGGAACAGTKCCATAACAACACCATAGGTGGTGTATATGTACAATTGAAAACAAGGGGGGAAGGGTGGTTCCCTAAATGTTTTTACAAAAACGCCTAATCCAAACTTTGAGATCAAAACTTGTTTTACAATTTCTTCAATAAGAAAGATAATCTCTACAATGACAAGGGATAGAACTCTATCTTGATCTATAACCTGTTTGAAAAACATTACCTTACACTATTTTCGCCTAAGCACTTATTCAAAAATGGCATACCTTGGACCAATTCTAGGGTGATTAACTTCACATAGCTCGTCTTTTTTTAAGCCTTAACTTTATCATTTGTTGTATGTGCTTGATTTCTATCAGCTTTTCTTACATGTATTTTTTTTTTTTTTTTCATTTTACCAGATTTTGCTAGATGAGGATGAAGAGTGCCAGTCCAACTTCTATGACAAGTTGGTGAGATTCCCAGGGCCAGTGTGCACCACTGTGTCGCTTGAAAGTGTTAGGCGAGCTAAGTCAGATTTTACAAAGAAATGTATAGAGAGTCAAGATAGTTTTCGATTTATAAATTTTTGTGTAAACAGTTTTCCACTTGCCGGGGTAGAAGAACAATATATAACATTAAAGCATTTGAATTTTACCAAACATACTTTAATTTGTTTGGAAAAACCTTTTCGTCTCGATAGTTAGATTTTAACAGCCTTCTTGCCATATGTGCTTTGTTAAATTGCAAGAAAAACACAAAAGGTCAAATATTTTAAACAACATTTCTCAAAATCAGAGCTAGTTACCTCATTTGCCGGAGTCGATCCTTAAACTACACACATTCTAAATTACTGATGTAGAATCTGTGGTCGATTGAACGAATTTATACTTTTCGTTTTTTACTTTCAAAAAGCTCCGATTTGAGACGAATATTTGTGAGATCCTTCTTCAAGAATAGGCACTTTTTGAAGTAAAAACCTTGAAAATCATTCGCAAAATACGGCATGTTTGGTACCAAAATAAAGCTTGAATCCTCCGGCTCTCGTTTTCCATCATTGTAATAGGATACCTATTAAAGCACAGGAATACCGTAGCAAAATGTTTTGTTTCTATAAGTCCGGGTCTGAGAGAGCTTGGGCTTCCTGTGGTTTCTATTATATACATGATATCCGCTGACTTACCGAGCGGCGCATGGCCGGAATAGTTGGCGATGTAAGCAATTTTAGAGCAAGTGCCTCACCAAAGCTTAGAAAGGAATGGACACCAGCAGTAGTTAGAGAATCAATGGACACCCTAGCCACGGAAGAGGGACCTCCGGGTTCACATGCAGATTCAGTGGGAGAAGTGATTATTCTGATTGTTCTAGCTGCTTTTGGTAAATCGATCGCCAGCGCTAGCATGCGTATCAGATGCCATGCTGGCAAGGCATACAAAGTTAACCCAAGCTGATATGTTTTCTGTCCCAGGACTTGAACCTCTCCCTAACCAAGCGGGATGCACTTCTAAAGGAGTCAAAATATTTTGATGAGATAAAGATTGCACTTGTTTAATAATTAATAATAATTATGATAATTTATTACTTATATAGCCCTATTTACAATAATAGATCAATAGCGCTTTACAATAAGAAATTTAAATAATCGATATCTAAATAAAAGAGAAAGATGCCTAYGAATTTACAATAAAAATCAATTACAAATATAATATATAATATTAATGATTAATGATATAGTATATAATATTAATGAAATAATAAAAATATTAATACTTATTAAATGCTTCTTTAAAAAGATACGTTTTAATAGCTCTCTTGGATTTTTACTACCCCTCAACACTAACGTCTCCAGTTATATACTGACAACTCATCTCTTATGTTCCAGCATCCTACCACCTCTGGAGGACAGTTTTCTTTGTTGCAAGGCCATCCATTCAGGATTACTTTCTTTTGAATGCAGAGATCTCAGAATCCTCATTGGTTTTCTGTCTGAGCTCTTCCATTCCTTTGTCTGATAACGGCATGGTTCTAATGACAGTGTTCACGTGGTTTCAGCTGACGTCATAGCACGCGATTAATAAGCGATGGGTCTCCATTCGTCATCATGTAGTTGCAGCTCCCAAGCAGTCCTTGGATGCGCCAGAAGCTACTTTAGATGGTCTGTGTGGATCATAGTAAGCTAGAGTTGGCTCTTGCACCAGACACTCCTTCAGCAAGTTGGAGGCAGTTTCCTGTCTGTCTTCCCAGACCCAGTGGTTTCTTTGATCTAACAACTCTCTTAGAAGTGCGCTCTTAGCTGAGATATTGGGTATCCACTTAGACATGTAGGTTACCATTCCCAGAAACCTTTTACTCCAGCTTTATCTGTAGGCCTAGGCATGTTTCTTATTGCTGAAACCTTTCTTGGATACGGTTTGATCCCTCCATCTAAAAGTTTATCTTCTGGAAAGACTAGTTTCTTGACTCCTAATTGACATTTCTCTTTATTCAACTTCAGTTTGTTCCCGGGGGGTGGGGTTACTACCACCCCCACTTGGGTAGGGGTGTGCCGCCAGGACCTCAAAACCCTTACCCTATCCCAGACCTAAAATTTCGATTTTACATACCCTACCCAAGAATAAAACTAAGAATTGTATACCCTATCCCACACTAGACTCGGTTAGTCAATAGATTGCAATCAATATTTATTAACGTTTTTATTGTTTTTTGTGCCGTTAGAAAGCGTAGCCTATTTGCCAGACAAAAACGACCAAATCGTTAACCCTATCCCAGACAAAAATGATACCCTATCCCAGACAAAATGTCAAAAAATGATACCCTACCCCAGACCCAAAAGCCGAAAATCCATACCCTATAGGGCGGCACATACCCGTATAGCAAATATAGTACCCCCCCCCTCCCCCCCGGAAGATTGTTGGCTCTTGTCCACTTCAGGACTTCTCTTAGTGCTTGGTCGTGTGAGGCTTTATTCTTGCCTGCTATTATTAGGTCATCAATCGACTGCAACTGGTAGAAGATGTGCAAGTCCATCAACATTTATCAAGTGGTTGAAACATGTAAAATGTATCTACCCATAATCCTTGC